CAGGCGGCGAAGATGAAGAGATTGGAGGAGGAGATGAAGAAAGTACAACAAGAGGAGGAAGGAAGAAGAAAAGCTGCTGAAGCAGAAGCGGCAGCAGAAGAAGAGAAAGAGAGGATGAGRATTGAGAGTGGAGAAGGGAGTAGTGGTGGCACGATGACAAGGGAGACAGATACAGGGATGGAGAAGAGGATCAGCGAGTGGGTCGCTAATTTATCGTTGGGAGAAGACGAGGAGGTGGAGTCCTATGTGACTAAGGATGAGAAGGCTGCGCTGGCCGCTGAGGTAGCGGCCATGACAGACCCGATGGAACGAAGAGAGAGGGAAGACGAACAAAAGTTAGCATGGAAGTTGAGAATGAAGAGGGAGAAGAAGAGGAGGAGAGAGGAAGTGAATAAGATGACCGCAGCAGTGGTAAAGGTGCAGGAGTGTAGAGCGGAGGTGCTGGCCCAACCAGACGATAAGGCCAAGTGGGACAAAGTACTGGGGTACCTGGAGGTGTTGAGCAAGGCCTGGATGGAGGAGCGCCAGGCAAGCTGGAGCCAGGATGTAGCATTGAGTGCCATGCGGTCAGGGTTTAGAGATTTTGCGCGCGAGATTGTCACCCATATTGGGGGCGAAGTGAAGCAATTGAGAGATAATGTAGGGAAGTTTTATGAGGGCGCCATTCAGGGTGCCAAAGCTGTAGCCGCTGTAGAGGGAGAGGCCAGACCCCGTAAGGACCCAGTGAAACTCAAGTTCCCAGATGCGTAGGGGGGGAAGAAGGAAGAGAACTTTGACAACTGGGAAGCCAGTGTCAACAGTTATATTTACTTGCAGCATATCCTAACAGAGGAGCAAGTCCTCGTGGCCTTCCAGGCCCTAAAGGACGAAGCGGCTAGCTTCGCCAGGTCTCTCGCGCGTACAGCCGGTTGTGAAAACAACCTGGTTGCATATTCCAAAGTCACTCCTCTTTCCCAATTCCTCGAGCTCCTCAAGGAGCGGTTCGCTGACCCAACGCGAGGCATTAAAGCCTCTGATAAGCTCCAAATGATCCACTCCCGACAGTGGAGGAGTGCCAAGGCACTCAAGGGTACCATGGAYGACTTGGTAGCCGTCCCGGACCACGGGGTCACTGAGCCCCAGCTGGTCCAGTTGTTTTATCGTGCCATTCCAGAGGCCCTCCGCGGGCATTTCTTTGACAAATCTCAGCAGCCTGGCATGACTTACGATGTATTGAGTAGAGAAGTCGTCCTGTATGAGTCGAAGTCTATGCCAGT